CACGTGGGCACACAGGTGGCGGCCCGGCCACTCTGCCGAGTCCACACGTGGCGCGGGGTGTGACGGAGCCGGCTCTCAAACATCACGTGCGCAAGCTAGGCCGATCACTCGCATTGATGCGCACACACATATGCGTCCGCGTCGTGCGTGAAGGTCTTCATGATCTTCGGGAGGTGGGTGCTCACTTCTTTTCTCTCACAAAGCATCTGTTCTCAGCTGATTCCCCCTTCCCCCCCTCAATCTCCCAGAACATCACACGGCTACAAAAGGCTTTTGTCAAAGAGGGAGGGGGGGGGGCGCTCCGCCCGCCCTGCACTGTGTTACGCAAACCTGCCCCCCCCCCCCGGTCCAACTCCCATTACCTCTTAGGCCCCGGGTAGGATAGACTACCTAGGACCCTGGCCAGCATCACCGCCCCACCCGCGTCGCGGCGAGGACAGTGATGGACTCTTAATTCACACAATTCGTTTTCTTTCGTATACCAACACTTACAGTATCGCCCCCTACGTTTTGAGTGGTGGTGGGTCTGGACGAGGTTCTGGGCCGCTTGCCAGAGATTCCTCGCGGCAGATTTGCCGTTCAGTCATGGCAGGTCATTCCAGTCATTCACTGCTACTGCTGGATAGCACACAAATTTATGTCGTGGTCTTAGAATCGGGTTAGCCGTTGACGTCTTTATAACAACTAGGAGAATTAACGAAAATCGAATACTACAATTCCAAGTATCTCTCCGAGAAATTCTATAGAATTACTATAGCAAGGGTTACAAGAAAACTATCCATAAGGTGTGTTGTAAAATAAAAAATAAAAAATGTAAAACTACATGCACTACGTATCGACTAGGAATTCATTGACGAGCAAAAATGTGCGGTCATAAATTTACAACGTATTATTAGATATTTACAAAGTATATAGTAAATTTATGAATATATTTTTCACTGTGATATGCTCATCCATTTTCAAAGTAGCGGGGGTTGTGCAGGGGAGTAGGGGAGGAGGGGAATGCGGTTCGGGAACACAATGAATGAAACTGATAGCTGCCCGCCATCGGGTTTAGCGGCGGCGAGACGATTCTCACGGAAGAAGCAAGGCACTAGGACTAGGGCGCCGTGTGCAACCCACCGCATTATTCTCTCTGCACCCCCCCC